GGTTCGCAGCGTGCGGTTTGCAATGCATTCCTTTTCAGTATGCGAGTTCCTGCGGTGTTTCTAAGGTTGCAGGGCTCCGAGGCTCTTCGCTTCGATGCCAATGTTTTCAGACACCGTAGCTCCGTTCCGTAAACATCTTCCAAGAGCCGCTCGCAACCTTTTTGCAGCTGGCGGTCTGCAGACGTAGTTTGTCTCAGCATGCGAGCTCCCGCACGCTTCGCCGGCTTTTGCTGCGCGGACAATTTTCTCACACACGTCAGCGCCGTTTGTAGGCGTCAGAAAAACATGTAGACATTCACGAAGGGCTCAGTCTGTATATCGTCACATCATTACATACGCAGTCGTCGAACACATCGATGTACATTCAGCGCTTTGTCCTTCTAGCTGGGTCGCTTCGTGCTGAGGCTGAGGCTGATGCAGGCTGAGGCTGAGGCAGGCTGAGGCTGGGGCCGAGGCCGACGGCAGACTGAGGCTGAAGCAGGCTGAGGCTGAGGCAGAGGCAGGCTGAGGCTGAGGCTGAGGCTGAGGCAGGCTGATGCTGAGGCAGGCTGAGGCTGAGGCTGAGGCTGATGCAGGCTGAGGCCGAGGCAGGCTGAGGCTGAGGCCGAGGCCGAAGGCAGACTGATGCTGAGGCTGAAGCAGGCTGAGGCTGAGGCTGAGGCAGGCTGAGGCTGAGGCAGGCTGAGGCTGAGGCTGAGGCAGGCTGAGGCTGAGGCTGTGGCTGCGACTGCCGTTGCCACTGCGACTGTCATCGCGAATGCGACTACGACTGCGAGAACAGCAGAATTCTACAACTGGGTTCTCATCTGAATCTTAAGGGGAATGCTTCCAGATATGCTCCTACACATCGCTGTTAGGTTGCTTTGCCGGGATAATTTTATAAGGGATTCGCGAACAAGTGTTATGTTAGAGCAAAAAATGTCACCGCATAGCGTTTTTTTACAAGGGAACCTCAGGGGAGGGATACCGGCTGGCCTGGGATAGTGTAAATGCATATTTAGGATGGGCATGTGGTCAGAATCGTATATGATTAACATACCCAAAAGAGGATTGATACGCATTTTTTTGAAACAAATATTGAACACCTTGCTCAACTTGAAGCTGTCCTCTCCGCTGCTCGTGCAAACATCCCACCTCCCACCCGCAACTTGGTCGCAAGACCTTCTAAGACAAGACCGTGACGGTAGGTACCAGATGGCACTTGGCCACGACACCGACGCCGACGACGACAGCGATAACGACGACGACGGCCCCGCCGACAACGACGACGACGACACCGACGACGTCTCCAACGACTTCGACGACGACAGCGACCACGACGACGACGACCCCGACGACGACGACAACGACGCCGACGACGACGACGATGACAACGACGACGACGACGCCGCCGACGACGACGTTGCCGACGACGGCGACGACGAAGACAACGACGACGACGACGACGACGACAATGACGTCGCCAACGAAGACGACGACGAGGGAGGAGGGAGGACGACGACGGCGACAACGACGACGACGACGACGACGAGGGAGGAGGGAGGACGGCGACGACGCGAACGACGAAGAAGGAGGAAGGACGGTGACGTCGACGACAACGACGAGGGAGGAATCTATCATTACCTAACAGCTTTTGCTGATAGGTTTCTAGTGGTGTCAAAAGAGAGCATCTGGACTCCACAGGGGGGTCTGGGCGGGTGCCGGGGAGGAGAGCCGGGAATCGTTTTTCGCCAACAGTCACACACTTCGTGCTCTTCGACCTCCCAGAACTCCATTCCCGGGCCACATTCTGGAGAACCGGGAACAGAGCCGGGCTAGCTTTTCGCCAACAGTCACACATTTCGTGCTCTTGACCTCCCAGAACTCCATTCCCGGGCCACATTCTGGAGAACCGGGAACAGAGCCGGGCTCGTTTTTCGTCAACAGTCACGCACTTCGTGCTCTTCGACCTCCCAGAACTCCATTCCCGGGCTAAATTTGAGTGGCCGGAGCAAACTTTTTTTTTTTTTTTTTTTTTGTTTTTGTGTTTGTTTTTTTTTGTTTTTTTTGTTTGTGTCTTTGTCTTTCTTTTATTTTTTTTATTGAGGCCACTTCGTGCTCTTCGACTTCCCAGAACTCCATTCCCGGGCCACATTTTGGATGCCCGGAGCCAACTGTAGGCCACTTCGTGCTCTTCGATTTCCCAGAACTCCATTCCCGGGCCACATTTTGGATGCCGGAGCCAACTGTAGGCCACTTCGTGCTCTTCAAGTTCCCAGAACTCCATTCCCGGGCCGCATTTTGAATGCCCGGAGCCAACTGTAGGCCACTTCGTGTTCTTCTAGTTCCCAGAACTCCATCCTGGGCCACATTTTGAATGCTGAGGCAGGCTGATGCTGCGGCCGAGGCAGGCTGAGGCTGAGGCAGGCTGAGGCTGAGGCCGAGGCTGAAGGCAGACTGAGGCTGAGGCTGAAGCAGACTGAGGCTGAGGCTGAGGCAGGCTGAGGCTAGGCTGAAGCAGGCTGATGCTGAGGCAGGCTGAGGCTGAGGCTGAGGCTGATGCAGGCTGAGGCTGAGGCAGGCTGAGGCTGAGGCCGAGGCTGAAGGCAGACTGATGCTGAGGCTGAAGCAGGCTGAGGCTGAGGCGGAGGCAGGCTGAGGCTGAGGCAGGCTGAGGCTGAGGCTGAGGCAGGCTGAGGCTGAGGCTGTGACTGCGACTGCCGTTGCCGCTGCGACTGTCATCGCGAATGCGACTACGACTGCGAGAACAGCAGAATTCTACAAGTGGATTTTCATCTGAATCTGAAGGGGAATGCTTTCAGATATGCTTCTACATATCGCTGTTAGGTTGCTTTGCCGGGATAATTACCTAACAGCGAAGACTGATAGGTTTCTAGTAGTGTCAAAAGAGGTCACAGATCACTCCACAGGGGGGTCCGGGCAGGTGTTGGGAGTTGCCGGGCGGGCCTGTGCCGAACTCGTTTTTCACCAACAGTCACACACTTCGTGCTCTTCGAGTTCCCAGAACTCCATTCCCAGGCTCATTCTGAATAACCCGATGCAACAGTCACACACTTCGTGCTCTTCGAGATCCCAGAACGCCATTCCCGGGCCACCTTTAGAATAAACGGATGCAACAGTCACACACTTCGTGCTCTTCGAGTTCCCAGAACTCCATTCCCGGGCCACATTCTGGAGGGCCGGATGCAACAGTCACACACTTCGTGCTCTTCGAGTTCCCAGAACGCCATTCCCGGGCCACATTTTGGATGCCCGGAGCCAACTGTAGGCCATTTCGTGCTCTTCGAGTTCCCAGAACTCCATTCCCGGGCCACATTTTGAATGCCCGGAGCCAACTGTAGGCCACTTCGTGCTCTTCGAGTTCCCAGAACTCCATTCCCGGGCCACATTTTGAATGCCCGTAGCCAACTGTAGGCAACTTCGTGCTATTCGACTTCCCAGAACTCCCATTCCTGGGCCACATTTTCAGCAGGGGCAAGAGCACGACGAGGAGGAGGACGAGCAAGACCAGGAGGACGAGGACGAGCAGGAGCAGGACGAGGAGCAGGAGGAGAGGAGAAGAAGGACGAGCAGGAGGAGGAGGAGGACGAGCAGGAGGAGGAGGGCGACCAGGAGGAGGAGGACGACCAGGAGAGGAGGAGGAGGGGAGGGGAGGGGGAGGAACAGTACCAGGAGGAGGAGGAGGAGGAGGATGAGGAGGAGGAGGAGAAGGAGGAGGAGGGGGAGGAGTAGGGCGGAGGAGGAGAAGAGGAGGAGGAGGAGGAGAGGACGAGGACGAGGAGGAGGAGGAGGTAGGGTGGGGGAGAGTACCAGGAGGGGAGACGAGGGGACCACCAGGAGAGGAGGAGGAGGAGGAGGAGGAGGAGGAGGAGGATGAGGAACACCAGGAGGGGAGGGACGAGCAAGACGAGGGAGGACGAGAACGAGGAAAACGACCAGGAAGAGGAGGAGGAGGAGGAGGAGGCGGAGGAGGGGGAGGGGGAGGACTACCAGGAGGAGGAGGAGGAGGAGGAGGAGGAAGAGGAGGAGGAGGACGAGGAGGAGGAGGAGGAGGAGGACGAGGAGGAGGAGGGGGGGGGAGAGCACCAGGAGGAGGAGAACGAGGACCACCAGGAGGAGGAGGAGGAGGAGGAGGAGGAGGAGGAGAGAGCACCAGGAGGAGGAGGACGAGCAAGACGAGGAGGACGAGATCGAGGACGAGCAGGAGGAAGAGGAGGAGGAGGAGGAGGAGGAGGAGCAGGAGAAAGAGGAGGAGGAGGAGGCAGGCTGAGGCTGAGGCTGTGACTGCGACTGCCGTTGCCGCTGCGACTGTCATCGCGAATGCGACTACGACTGCGAGAACAGCAGAATTCTACAACTGGATTTTCATCTGAATCTTAAGGGAAATGCTTTCAGATATGCTTCTACACATCGCTGTTAGGTTGCTTTGCCGGGATAATGTTTTTAGAAAGGAGAATCTATATCGTGCGTGTAACATGGCGTAGCAATCCAAAACAATGCGAAACAATGCGACGCAATACGGAACAACGCACAACAATTCAAACCAATGCGAAACAATGCCAACGGGGCGGCGACGGCGACCACATAGCCGCGTGCAGGCCCAGAAGATGGGCGGCGACGGGGCGGCAACGGCGACCACAGCTGCCAGACCGACGGGCAGGCCCATAAAACGGGCGGCGACGAAGCGGCGCCTGGGCGGCGACGGCGACCACACAGTCGCCAGACCGACGGACAGGCCTAGTTCTTTAGGACCCAGTAGGTGCAAATACTGTTCGGGCTGCGTGAGTGTGTAAATCCGTAAGGGCTTCGCCCCCTGCCGCAGGCCCCCTTTCTCGGATAATGAGCAATGCAAGAGCGAAATCATAACGCCTTGGCGCCGCCGTGAAGCAGCGTCGGGACTTCACGCGAAGACGATGAACAATCGGCAAGACAAATTGATATTCTGATGATATCGTTGAATTCGGTGTTGTATTTCGAAGGGTTTATGGCTTCGTCCGTAGCGATTTTGGCTCAAGCCATTCTGGCTCGAGCTCAAGCCACCGCGGTGCAAGCGCTGCCCCCGGCAGCAGCCGAGCCTCTGTAGCTGCAGCGCGTGGCGTCCGATGCGCGGCGTGGGGCAGGCGCTGGCCCGCTCGACCGCCTGGCCTGCAATGCTGGCCATGCTGTGTGGCCTGCCCTTCGTGCTCTTTGGGCCTCTCCGCGCCAGCAAGGTGCTGGGCAGCGGACGTGTGATGCAGCCACGACCTGGGAGCGCCTCGGGCCCCACTGCGCGCGGTGCCAGGAAGGGCACCGTCCCGGACCCGCAGGAGTGTTCTCACAACCGCGAGGCTGCTCTTCGGGAGTACCGGATGCACGGCGGGAGGCTGTTTTTTACCTAACAGCGAAGACTGATAGGTTTCTAGTAGTGTCAAAAGAGGTCACAGATCACTCCACAGGGGGGTCCGGGCAGGTGTTGGGAGTTGCCGGGCGGGCCTGTGCCGAGCTCGTTTTTCACCAACAGTCACACACTTCGTGCTCTTCGACCTTCCAGAACTCCATTCCCAGGCTCATTCTGAATAACCGGATGCAACAGTCACACACACTTCGTGCTCTTCGAGATCCCAGAACGCCATTCCCGGGCCACATTCTGAATAACCGGATGCAACAGTCACACACTTCGTGCTCTTCGAGTTCCCAGAACTCCATTCCCGGGCCACATTCTGGAGGGCCGGATGCAACAGTCACACACTTCGTGCTCTTCGAGTTCCCAGAACTCCATTCCCGGGCCACATTTTGGATGCCCGGAGCCAACTGTAGGCCACTTCGTGCTCTTCGAGTTCCCAGAACTCCATTCCCGGGCCACATTTTGAATGCCCGGAGCCAACTGTAGGCCACTTCGTGCTCTTCGAGTTCCCAGAACTCCATTCCCGGGCCACATTTTGAATGCCCGGAGCCAACTGTAGGCCACTTCGTGCTCTTCGAGTTCCCAGAACTCCATTCCCGGGCCACATTTTGAATGCCCGTAGCCAACTGTAGGAACTTCGTGCTCTTCGACTTCCCAGAACTCCCATTCCTGGGCCACATTTTCAGCAGGGGCAAGAGCACGACGAGGAGGAGGACGAGCAAGACCAGGAGGACGAGGACGAGCAGGAGCAGGACGAGGAGCAGGAGGAGCAGGAGAAGAAGGACGAGCAGGAGGAGGAGGAGGACGAGCAGGAGGAGGAGGACGACCAGGAGGAGGAGGACGACCAGGACGAGGAGGAGGAGGAGGAGGGGAGGGGGAGGAGTACCAGGAGGAGGAGGAGGAGGAGGAGGAGGAGGAGGAAGAGGAGGAGGAGGAGGAGGAGGACGAGGACGAGGAGGAGGAGGAGGAGGGGGGGGGAGAGTACCAGGAGGAGGAGAACGAGGACCACCAGGAGGAGGAGGAGGAGGAGGAGGAGGAGGAGGAGGAGAGAACACCAGGAGGAGAAGGACGAGCAAGACGAGGAGGACGAGAACGAGGACGACCAGGAAGAGGAGGAGGAGGAGGAGGAGGGGAGGGGGAGGACTACCAGGAGGAGGAGGAGGAGGAGGAGGAGGAGGAGGAGGAAGAGGAGGAGGAGGACGAGGAGGAGGAGGAGGAGGACGAGGAGGAGGAGGTGGGGGGAGAGCACCAGGAGGAGGAGAACGAGGACCACCAGGAGGAGGAGGAGGAGGAGGAGGAGGAGGAGGAGGAGGAGGAGAGAGCACCAGGAGGAGGAGGACGAGCAAGACGAGGAGGACGAGAACGAGGACGAGCAGGAGGAAGAGGAGGAGGAGGAGGAGGAGGAGGAGCAGGAGAAAGAGGAGGAGGAGGAGGAGGCAGGCTGAGGCTGAGGCTGTGACTGCGACTGCCGTTGCCGCTGCGACTGTCATCGCGAATGCGACTACGACTGCGAGAACAGCAGAATTCGACAACTGGATTTTCATCTGAATCGTAAGGGGAATGCTTTCAGATATGCTTCTACACATCGCTGTTAGGTTGCTTTGCCGGGATAATTTCCATATCACTCACCATGCTGGGACCAACATTAAGAGCATCCTCAAACTGAATGGCCTCTGCGAAATCCACGCAGATCCTTTCCTCGTGGCCCCAGATAACTCGACCCATCGGTGGTTCAACGTGTGGAAGGAGGAAAGCGAGATACCGCCAGAAGATTTGAGCAGCTTCATGCCGTGCGATTCGGACGGATTTGTCAGCGTGGTTTCCTTGCGGGATCCGATTGAGCGAACTTTTGCTGGTGATGGTATGTGGAAGACATTCGCCAATGGTACCAACATGGACATGTGCAGTTCAGATAATTATGGTTTGCGTAAACTTATAGATAAGCCGTTACCCGCAAATTTGTCATGGGAAGATGTAGAGTTTGCGAAACGACGCTTGGCGTCATTCGATTTGATTATTGATCAGGGCAACTATGCGACTTCTATGAAGTTGCTCTGCGCTGAGCTTGGGCTTTCATATTGCGGGGTCGCCCAGAAAGTCCACAGATACCCGAGTGAGTATCTACCCGATGACATATTCAAAAAACTCAGGCATCGCAATCGATTCTATAGGCGTACGCCACATCCGCCGACCCCTGTGTTCGAAAAGCGTTGTGGTTTCTCTGGGGTCGCATGCAGTGTCGGCACCACTCTCCTGCAATGTTGCGTGCAGCGTGTGGTCGTGAGGGGGAGGAAGAGGAGAAAGAGGAGAAGGAGGAGGAGGAGGAGGAGGAGGAGGAGGAGGAGGAGGTGATCGCGGGGATCTCTTGGGGGGCTTCTCGCGGGACTCTTGGAGGCAGTTTCGAAGCCTCTTGGGGGCCGTTTTGGGGCCGTTTGGGGCCCTCTTGGGGGCCTTTTGGGGCTTCTGAGGGGCGTCTTGGGGGCCTCTTGGGGCCTCTTGGGGCTTTCTTGGGCCGTCTTGGGCGGAAGGCTCGGATTGTCGGTTCAAGCTCCCTCTCTTGGGCCCCTCTTGGGGCCGTCTTGGGGCCCTCTTGGGCCGTCTTGGGGGCCTCTTGGGCCGTGTTGGCGCCCTCTTGGGCCGACTTGGGCGCCTCTTGGGGGCCTTTTGGGCCGTCTTGGGGCTGTCTTGGGGTGCTCTTGGACCGTCTTCAACGCCGTAAAGGCCGACAAGTCGTATATGATGGGAATGTACGTGTTCCCATAGGAATTTGATGATTTCGCCTCTTCGGCCCTTCTGAGGACTGTTCTTGGAGGCCTCTTGGGCCGTCTTGGAGGCCTCGTGGCTCGTCTTGGGGCCATCTTGGGCGTCTTGGAGCGCTCGTTTGGCGTCTCGGGGCCCTCGTGGGCCGTCTTGGAGACGTCTTGGGGCCTTCTTGGCCCGTCTTGAGCCCCTTTTGGGTCCAAAAGAGCCCGTGGTTTGCTCGGGCCGGGCCCGGGGGAGGGGGGGTCAAATCGTCGGTTTGGGGTCCCATGGGGGGGGGGTTAGGGGGGGGAACTATCTCACACGTCTAGAGACCCACAAGGGGTCGGCGGATTTGAATTGGCGATGTATGAATACGGGCAGGAGCTTTCCAGGGACATGATCCGTTCGAGCCAGCTTGCTGGGCGTTGGCCTGCAAATGCAACTCTCAAGTCCCTGCAACGGGCTGCGAGCCAGCTTGCTGGGCGAATGCCAGCAGACGCTAACGAGGGTCAGTTGTTGCGATATGCTTTGAACTCTTGCCCGAGAAAGGGTAAGCACCACCCGCGCCGCGCGTGGGTATGCCCGAGCCAGTGGCCGGCCCACGACTGACACCGATACAGTCCGTTCGACTTTTGAGAGAGCGCCGACGTGGGCGCGGAAGCATCGGCCGGCGCCGCTTCTGTGTAGAGCCATCGTCTTCTGAACGCAGGCCGAGGCGGGCGTCGGGCCGCCAGAACTCCACAAAAAAGGTCCCCAAGACGGCCCAAGAGGGCACCAACACGTACTAGTCGCCGCACCTGTCCCCCCCCGCCACTTCCCCTCTTTTCCTGCCCCCCCCTCGCAACCCCTTGTTGTTCTCATAGTGTACAGATCACATGTGCTTCTTTTAGCTAGCGCTCATCTGACTAGTAGCATTCCTGTACGTTTCTCTTCTGATAGCATGTTTCTTTTTTGGGTCGCGCCGGGGACATCGAATTCTGGCACCGCTGTATCACCCGGTGGCCACACCAACCTCACTATAGGTGAATTGGTCGTATGGCCGTTTCATGTTGGGGCTCTCAAATGGCAGAGCCCCCGTTTTTAGTAAATCCACGGGCGATCTACATGGTTGACTTGCTATTCGTTCTATTTTTTGCGCTGGAGGAGCACACGCTGCGTTATCTTGACGCGGTTGTCTGTGTCGAGGCGAACTACGATGCGTATACAAGGGTCCACTGTATCGACTGGCGAAGGAACAGCGTTGAGATACCTTGATTGCGTCAAAAAAAAAGAGGGCACCAACACGTCCCATGCATGGGTGCCTGATTTGTGTGTGTAGGTTTGTGTTTGTGTTTGTTTGTGTATAGGTGTCCCAAAAGAGCTCCCGGAACATCCCCAAGGGCCCCGGCCCAAGAGGCCCCCAGGATCGCCCCAAGACAGCCCAAAAGGCCCGCAAGAAGGCCCCAAGACAGTCCAAGAGGGTTCAAGACGGTCCAAATGCCCCCAAGACAGTCCCAGAGGGGACCCAAGAGGGCCAAATAAGGGGAATTCGGACTCACATTTGGAGCCCTCCAGTCCAAGGTGACCGCCGAGACTGCCAGCAGCCCAACAGGCCCCCGAGACGCCCCAAGACATCCCAAAACTGCTTCCAAGAGACTTCCAGGAGCTCTTCAACAAAAAATCCTCGAGGCATCGAAGAAGCCTCTGCCCTACAACCCAGGCGCGGTGGCGGGCGGGAGGGGCGGAAAGTAGTCATATGCCCCAATCGGCGCTTGCCCTGAAGGGGTCCTAGCGGAAATTGAGAAACTAGATGAAGATGGCGGGCCGTTTTCGGTGGGCGGCGTCTTGGGGGCCTCTTGGGCCGTCTTCGGGGTCATCTTTGGCGTCTTGGCGCGATCTTTGGGCGACTCGGTTCGAGGGCTCACAGCACCCTCCTTCTCCCAGATGGGATTGGTCCCAGGGATTGGGGGATGACGACGACTACGACGACGACGACCGACGACGACGACGACGATTCGACGACGACGGCGACGACGACGACGGCGACGACGACCGACGACCACGACGACGACGACCGACGACAACGACGACAACGATGACCGACGACGACGACGACGACGACGACGACGACGACGACGGCACCGCAGCACCGCAGCACCGCAGCCCTACCCCAAACCCGCAGGGGGAGGGGCGGGGGTCTTGGCACCCCCTTCCACCGCGCCAGGCCCAAAGGGCCACGACCACAGGGGGAGGGGAGATCCCATTTGCGAGGCCTTCGCGAGGTTCACAGGCGTACCCATCCAGCGAGGAGGGGGGGGCTGATCCCATTCGCATTGGGGGGGGAGCTCATATATCCCACCCAGGGGTGGTAAGTCGGCCAATGTGGCCAAGGCCACGCCAGTGGGGATATGGATTGGTTCCTGAGATCCGACGTTGCGAAGCGGCAAAATGCAACACTGTAAAAAACCTCGGCCAGATCCCTGGGCCCCATCTCTCTGGTGCATGCTTTGAGCCGGATCGATCAGTGATGGCCCAGGGCCCGAAATTGGGCGAAGAGCCCAGCGCGGAAAAATTGAGACGCCAGGAGATCTCAGGGGTAAACGATGCTCACAGTGCATCTGTCTCGTCCGCGCCGTTGTGTTGCCCTTCATGTCAGCCTAAAGAGGGTCTTTTGCGCTCTCGGGGGATCTCTTGACTCCGCGCTGGACCCCGCTGGCGACGCCAGAGTCGCCGCCCCTGGCGCGCTCCGCGCGCCAGGGAGGAGGAGGAGGAGGAGGAGGAGGAGAAGGAGGAGGAGGAGGAGGAGGCGGAGGAGGAGGAGGAGGAGGAGGAGGAGGAGCAGGAGGAGGATTTACTCACTCACTAATTCACTCCCTTACTCACGCACCTCAGGCGGGAGCTTCGTCCGTGAGTGAATTGCGAGGAAGTCTCAGGCGGGGGCCCCCCTCCCTATGGGGCTTGCAGATCATGGTACTAATCCAAGCGGGTCACCGGAATCTTGTTACTGTCGTCATGTTTGGCGTCTTCAAGCTTGAGTGTGGTGGAAGTCTCAGGCGGGAGCCTCGTTTGTAGTGAATTGTGAGGAAGTCTCATGCGGGAGCCCCCTCCTCCTATGGGGCCCGCAGATCATGTTACTAATCCGAGCGGGTCACCGGAATCTTGTTACTTTCGTCATTTTTGGCGTCTTCAAGCTTGAGTATGGTGGAAGTCTCAGGCGGGAGCCTCTTCTGTAGTGAATTGTGAGGAAGTCTCAGGCTTGGGCCCCCTCCCTATGGGGCCCGCAGATCGCGTTACTAATCCAAGCGGGTCATCGGAAACTTGTACCTGTCGTTATTGTTGGCCTCTTCAAGCTTGAGTATGCCGAAAGTCTCAGGCGGGAGCCTCGTCTGTGAGTGAATTGCGAGGGAGTCTCAGGCGGGAGCCCCCTCATGGGGCCCGCAGCTCATGTTATTTCCCAGCGAGTTATTGGAATTCTGCAGCTATCGTCATTTTTGGGCTCCTGCAGCCTGACTATGGGGGAGTATCAGGCGGGGTTGTCCCAACGGCTGCGCGATGCGGCCATTACAGAATGCGCCCGTGCTGGCCGAGGCGGTGACGGCGCCGAGGAAAACCGACGCGCGCGTTCTTGCCAGGAGTAAGGAGAGGTGCACGAGGAGAACAGGCGGGGCGGAGATGAGGAGGGGGAGAAGGACGGGAGGTGAAGGAGGAGGAGGAGGAAAAGGACGAAGAGGAGGAAGAAAACGAAAAGGAGGGGGGGGGAGGAAGAGGTGGAGGACGAGGAGGAAGAGGAGGAAGAGGAGGAGGAGGAAGAGGAGGAGGCGGCGGAATATCAAAAGGATAACCCATGAAACGAGTAGGACGATAATGAACAGGAGGATGGGGTTAGGAGGAGGAGGAGGAGGAGGAGGAGGAAGAGGAAAAGGAGGGCGGAACGAAGGCCTCCGCCAGTCGAATAAGAAAGGGCGAGGGACAAGCTAAATATATTCACGTGCGGGGTCCTACCCTCGGCGTTGTTTTTGAGTTGGAGGACATGCCCGACCTCAAGCCAGGGGCGCTTGCGTGAAACATCATGCAAGGCCCGACTGGCCCAGGTTTCCCGACACCCGTGCGTCATCTTCGGCTCATCCTCAGCCATTTTTTGATGGCCAGCCCCGCTCGGAGAGCCTCACGTGGGTGCCCAAGGCCCCTGCGTACTTACCGCGGTTCCTTACTATATGGGTCGACTGTGTGCGAGCGCCCGTCCGATTGCCCTCCGAGGGGCCCGGGCCCATGACCGCCCCAGCGCGCAGGCACTGGGCATCTCCCGGTCGGCGCGCCGCCCTCGGCTACCCAGCTCGCGTTCGCCAAGGCCGGTGGAAGGGGCGTGGGGCGGCGGGAGAAGCAGACATGAGCGTGTTTCCCCACCCACCCAACGACCCCAACCCAACCCGAAGGCCTCAATGTTCCCTCCATTTCCATGGGGGGGGGGGGGGGCTGGGGAACATTGAGAAAACACATGGAACGCGTACCCCCCCCAACCCGAAATGCGGGTCAGATTGGGTCTTGGGGTTGGGTTGGGGTGGTCTGGTAGGTAGTCAGTGTCGTTGGAACATTGTCGAAAAAACGATTCTAGGTGAAAGCTGGACCCGGGGCCAAGGGTTGGGACCTTTGGGGGCCGCGTATGGAAAACATCAGAACGTTGCATGTCTGGGGGGGGGGGCGGGGCATGGGTTTGTTTGGACGTGGGTTAGCGTCAAGCCTTACGTTGGGCATGTCCCGCTACAGGCGAGGAATGTTCAAATACATTAAAAAATCAGTCTGGGGACGAACGTTTGACTGTTTATGAATACCTTTGTTGTGTGCATTTGTTGAGTATTTTCACCTGTTCCTCTAAACTCTGCCTGTAGGAGGACATGCCCGACCTAAGTCAAGCCCTAACTCCCTTGAAGAACAGGCCGCAGCAGCGACAAGGATGGCCGGAGGAGGGCGAGCGAGGCGAGGACCAGAAAGACACGAGCGGAGGGGGCCGACCGAAACGCAAGAGGCCCACGGGAACATCACAAGGACAACACAGAACATGGGCAGTGAGCTTTCCAGATTTGCATCCTTAATTGCATAATCTCGAGAGCTCATCCTCGTCCTCATCCTCCGCCCATCAGCAAAGCCTCGCACCCTAATGCCTATCCAATGTAAGATGCAGGGGGCAACAACGAGAGAGGCGGAAGCCATCAGCTCCTGCTCCGATCGCCAAGAATATGCTCTTGCTCTTGTGCTAGTGGCGAAGGTCGCGTAGCAGGTCGCGGCCCTTGGATTCCTTGCGCGGCGGCTGGCTTGGATCATGCCATTGTTAGGTGAGGCCTTGCCCATGTGTTCGAATTCCTTGCTGGCCGAATCATCGGACACCACTGTCCTGTGCGGGGCGACTGCGCCAGTGTTGACCGCCGCTTGGTATGACGCAGCGCCGTGATTCCCAAGCGGAGACCTGGTGAGAGCCAGATCGCCATCTCGAACGTGCGCATGCTGATGTTGTTGCTGATGATGCACATGACGTTGTTGCCTGTGCTGGTGATTACGATGGTGATGACGGTGATGATGGTGGTGGTGATGATGTTCATGGTGATGATGATGATTATGATGCTAATGATGGTTGTTGTGATGGTGATGGTGATGATGACGATGATGATGATGATGACGATGTTGATGTTGATGTTGATGCTGATGCCAATGGCAACGATGATGACGATAATGCCAATGATACTGATGATGACGATGATGATGCTGCTGTTGCTGCCGACGATGAGGATGACGACGAGGACGACGTCGGCGACGAGGAGGAATATGAGGAGGAAGATAAGGAAGAGGAGGATGTTGATAAGGGCGACGGTTGTCGACGACGATGGATGATGTTGATGTTGATGTTGATGCGATTGCTGCTGGTGATGATGATGTTGCTGACGACGACGACGATGACGATACTGCTGCCGATGATGATGAATGTGAGGATGATGATGATGCCAACTATGATGATGATGATCCTGCTGGTGTACTGATGCTGATGATGATGCTGATGATCGTGATGCTGATACTGATGACGATCATGACTATTGTGATGGCGATGGTGAGGATGCCGATGATGATGCTGCTGGTGATGATGTTGGTTGTGGTGGTGGTGCTGCTGATGACGACGATGATGATGGTGGTGGAGGAGGAAGTCTTGGTGGTGATCGTGGTGATTATGCTGCTGATGATGATGATGATGATGCTCTTACTGATTGTGACGATGACGGTGGTGGTGATAATAAAGACGATGAGGATGACGATGAGGACAGGGAGGGAGAGGGGGAGGCTCATGAATATCGGCGGTGGCAACACATCTGGCAGGTAACCTGTGCTCGCTAAGGGACCGTCTCTACATTGCTCGCTGCGAAGCCACGAACAGTATCGGTTTCTGTATTAATCGAGATAACGATAGTGACAATGATGGTAATGGTGGTAATGGTGGTAATGATGATGATGATGATGATGATGATGATGTTGATGTTGATGTTGATGATGATGATGATGATGCTGATGCTGATGCTGATGCTGATGATGATGATGATGATGATGATGATGATGATGATGCTGGTGCTGATGCTGATGATGATGATGCTGATGCTGATGCTGATGATGATGATGCTGATGCGTGATGGTGATTGTGGTGGTGATGATGAGCATGACGATGAGGAGAGGGAGAGGGATTGGCGAGGGGGGGGGGGAAGGGCCGGGCGAGGGGGAGGGGGAGGGGGAGGAGGAGGAGGAGAGCGAGGTGCAATGTTTGTTTTCTGGTCAGGGCTTGGACACGAGGTCCTCTTTGTCCGTCGGGCTGTTGCTCTAGACCAGAGAGTGACGAGCAGGTTGAGCAGACGTTTTGCTTGACATAACCTAACACAATGGGGGTGTTACGAGCGACGTTGGTTCTCCACAAGGTGGCCTTCGCCTGAGACATCCCCAGAACATCAGGATGTTGACATCGGGCGTCGGATATTCAATATGGTGTCGCCAGGGGCGCTTCGCCTGAGACATCCTCACACAACGGGGATGTTGAAGGACTTGTTCGACGCCAATTTTCAAAACAATGCGATTTCGCCTGCGACATGCTCACAGCATAGGGATGCTGGAGGAGCTGTTTTTCGGCATTGGTCCTCAGAAAGTGAGTTTTCGCCTGAGACATCTTCAGGCAATTCAAATGCTGGAGGAGTTGTTTTTGTTCGGCTTAAGATGTCAACCATGAAGCTTTTGCCTGCGACATCCTCTGACAACTCAACTGTGGGGGATCGGGCATCGGATATCCACCATGGTGTGGGGAGAGCGTTTCGTTTGAGACATGCTCATAAGATAAGGATGTCGGAGGAGATGTGTTTCGACATTGGTTCTCAACCATGAAGCTTTCGCGTGATACATTCTCAGGCAATCGAGATGTTGGAGTTCGGGTGTCGGATAGCCAATATTGTGTGAGAGCGTTTCGCCTGAGACATCCTCACAACATTGGGACAGTTGGGGAGTTGATGTGCGACGTTACTGTTCAAACTGAAGCTTCACCATATCCTTCTTCCGAATAGATGTTGGAGACAACACGTCATATTCCAAGCATGTCGCGGGCTTAGTGGGGTGCGTGTTTTTTTTGCCGGAGACATTCTTACAACAACATGGTGATGACGAAGTTGTGACCCTTCTCTCCTCCTCCCTCTCTCCCTCTTCCTCCTCTTCTCTTTTCCATTCCCCAGCGCCTCTCGAAGCCCCCAATGGATGAAACTGGGAGTCGTTCATCGTTGTATTTGGAGCTCTCTAGACCGAGTGAACCGCCTTGGAGGAGGAGGAGGAGGAGGCATAGCAGGAGAGGGAGCAGGGCATGGTGTCGGAGGAGGAAGAGGACGGGGAGAAGAAGGAAGAGGTGCAGGAGGTCCAGGAGGAGGAGCCGGAGGAGGAGGTGGAGAAGGATTAAAGCGGATTCAAGCCGCCGATCCGCTTGATCGATACCCTGCCAGACACTCGTGCCGTTCCGTGCCAGAGTTAGTAGGGCAATAGCTGAAAACCTTTCCACTTGCTGCTACTGCCTTCTCGCACGAGCTGTCCCCTGCTCCGTGGCCGAGATGTGTATCGGCCGATCCCCGATCACTTGAGCAGCGACACGGATGCTGACACCGCACCCCCCTTGCTGCCACATGTAGCCGCAAGCGTTGCGTCCCAGCTCTGCACAGCCAAGCGATGCCAGGCTGCGCCCCTCGCACACGAGCGAACCCCAACGTGGTAGTTGACGACCGCACGAGGAGGAGGAGGAGGAGGAGGAGGAGGAGGAGGAGGAGGATGGAGGAGGAGGAGGAGGGAGGAGGAGGAGAGGAGGAGAGGGAGGAGGGAGGAGGAGGAGGAGGGAGGGAGGAGGAGAGGTGCAGGAGGAGGAGGAGGTTCAGACTGGCGCATGGTTTGATCCTCAGGGGTGCTTGAGAAGAAACCAGGAGGAAAGGGATGAGGAGGAGGAGGACGAAGAGGAGGACGAGGAGGAGGACGAGGAGGAGGACGAGGATGATGACGAGGAGGATGAGGATGAGGAGGATAAGGACTAATGATAATAATGGGAGCAGAAGAAGACGGATCAGAAGAGTAAGCAGGATACGCATACTGTTAGTAATACTAGTTATCGAAATCTGAATGATAACAGAAATACTCATAGCAGGAGAAGGAGGAGGAGGAGGAGGAGGAGGAGGAGGAGGAGGAGGAGGAGGTGCAGGAGGAGGAGAGGGAGGAGGAGGAGGAGGAGGAGGAGGAGGAGGAGGGGCAGAAGGAGGTGCAGGAGGATGAGGAGGAGGAGGAGGAGGAGGAGGAGGAAGAAGGCAAGGAGGAGGTGGAGGCCTCGGAAGCGGGCGGAGGGTTTTTGGGGCGCCTCGCGGCAGGCGGCGGCCGGCGCGGAGGCCGTGCAGCACGTGTCCGCAGGCGGCGGTTGGCGCGCCGCGGCCCGCCCTTTGGCGGGGCCGAGAGCCGCGGGCCGGGATACGGCAGGGGTTCAATCAGTGGCGAGGCGTCTTGGCTCGCCTATGCGCCCACCGAAGAATGTGATATGAACCCTCTGCGGTCAGTACGTTATGTTCTTAAACCATTTCTGGCTGGGGCTGTCTTGGTTTCACACATCGGGCTTATATTCCAAAACGGTTTTTGGTGTTAATAAAACATGATTGGGTTCTAAGAACATGTCGTGGTAACCCCATAGGAATGTCGGGACGGTCAGTCCCTGCTCAAGGTTTCGGACGGAGCCAGGACGAGGATCAATCCGTGCGGGGAGACTGGCGGCCTCCTCGTATCGCTGGCTCGTGACACATTACGGACAGCAAGCATTCATCGAGAACAGAAGACCCCGTAGCCCTAATGACACGATGAAGACGTGGCCTCACTGAGGTCCCCGTCTTTGCATAAGGGATGATAAATCTGACTGGACGGTTTGGTTCGATACATCTGCAGCAGAGACCCCCTATTCCTGATTTTGGTACGGCCCTCTTAACTTGGGCCACCTCCCAAAGGGTCAGGTCTTCTTGGTTGCCCAGCATGCTTGCTCCGTTTCGGGCCCCGAGGCCCTTGCGGATCGGAAGATCACACGTGAAGATCGCGCCGACATTTCTCTGCATTTTTTTACAGTCTGGTCTTTTTTCTTCTCACGCCGACCTATGACAAGGATCAATCCGTCGCGGAGCGTTCTGGAGCGCTCTCAGAACGTTCTGGAACGCTCTGAGAAGGCCGCGGCGCCCGATACATTTCTGGAGCGGTCAGATGTCAGAGATTCTCGATTCATCCTCACCCGAATTTACCCTCGTCCTGACTTCGAACTAAGGTTCGCGTCGTATCGACGCGGCGGCGACCGCAGCGCGGGCGTTCAAGGTGGAATGTCGCCAGTTGCCCAGAATCGACCAATATGAATGATCTGGCGATCGAAAGGCTGCCGATCGTTCCTTGTTGAAGGATCCGCGCGATGTCAGAAGCCGGTGACGGGGTCGTCACGAGGCGAACCTGCCATTGATCGGATCGGCTGCGCAGCGTGGCGGGGCTGAGGGCCCAGGGCCGGGCTGGGCAAGGGCCGAGGGCCTCGGGAGCCTTGAGAGATTGGGGTCGATGCAAACGGGGGTTGGCCAGGGCGCCGGATCTTGCAAGGCGTATGCCTTGACCATGGCTAGCGCGTGCAGGATCCCCTGGCATCGCTCGGACGTGTGTATTGTTTTCTCGGCGAGGACCCTTGAGGAACATCCTAGATCACCGAGCGAAAAAAACACGCACGAAACCGAACGATGCACGGGAAATGGACGTCCGAGCGACGGCAGGATCCTGCAGGATCTTGCAGTATCCTGCAAAGCCCGATTGGCCCGGATGTGCATTGGCCCAGGCCAGCGCGTCCCCGAGGCCGCAGGCTGCGCTGCGTGGAGGGGCAGGGCCAGCCACGCCATGTAAGAGTGACCTTTCGCCGCAGCGGCCTTTGGTGCGGACCCGCAGGGGCTGGCCCCCCGGTCGTCGAACTCGATGCGATGGCACGCGCGCTCGGCTCGGGTAACGCCGCGCACCAGAGGTCACTCTTGCCCAGGGTCACTTCTTGCGTGCAGCCGACTAGGGCCGAGGGCCGTCGCCGGGCAAGGGCCGAGGGTGGGACGGGACCGGGACGAGGATCATCATCCGTTCCAGAGCGTTCCGGAATGCCTTGAGAAGGCCGCGATGTGGGTTCCATGGCATTGCGTGGAAGGTTTCCAGAAGTTTCGATGAGTTCTTCCGCGCCCTCCGCGGAGGTCGGAAGGTATGGAAGGTGGAGGTGGGGGGACGTCCTCCGGAGCCGTCGGATCTCAGGGATCCTCGATTCATCCTCACCCGGATTTCAGGCGATCGCAAACATGGATCAAGGGGGCGTGAATTAGTGACGGGTCCCGTTTCCATGGGAAATCGCGGATTTCCGTAGCCGAGCGAGGCGGCACCGGCCGCATTTTGGGGAGGGCACCTCCCCCGATCCATGGATTTGGCGACCGCGCGCCAGATCCATGGATCGCTGTAGTCCATGTTTCTGCGCCCCCGATATGAGGGGCAAGGGGGGGAGAGGGTGAGGCGGAGGCGGACGCGAGAAGGAGGGCAGGAGCGAGGATGTGGAGGCAGGAGAAGGAGGGCAGGATGTGGAGGACGTGGAGGAGTGATGATCGTCGTCCAGGCTCCGGCTTGGCAGGGGCCGAGGGCCGAGGGCTGGGCAGGGGCCGAGGGCCCCGGGCCCTGCGCGGAGCTCTCCGCGAGGGCGGGGCCGAGGGCCGCAGCCCGAGCGCGGCTGGTCGCCTGAGGGACCCTCTGGCGACCGCGGCATCTTTCTGCACGAGCGAAAGGGGCACGGAAGGAATGGGTACAATGCCCAACAGCAGTTCATGTTCATTTTGAACAGGACTCGCTGTAGGTGCCGCCGCGGCCTGTGCCCCTTCGAGACAGAGGACCGCCTGCCCAACAGCGGCCGCTGTTGGTTTGGGTCAAGATTGTTGTTGGGCATTGTGCCCATTCTTTCCGTACCCATTTCGGGCGTCCAAAGTTTTCCGGGGGCCTGCGGGGCCAAGCTCGGCCACGCGCAGAGGGGGGCAGGTTCGGATGCAACTCCTGGGAGGTCAAGTTCTGACTTTGCCCTGGTCCTAAATCCAGCTCGATCCTTTTTTTCATCCCGCTTAATCCAGCTTATCCCCGCTTAACCCAGCTGAATCCCGCTTAATCCGCGGAGTATCCGGCGTAGCAGCCCCCCAATGGGGTTAAATCCTTTTGATTCCTGTCGACGAAGACCTCCCAGTAGTTGCCTCCTAAGTTAGGGGGAGGGGGGGAGGCTTCTTAGAAGCACCCCTGCTTCTTAGAGGACGCGGGCCTTCTCTGCACATGTGAGGCCGGCGCCTTGCCGCCAGGAGGGCGCAGGCCGCTGCCGTTGCACTGTGCGCCGCGGCGGGCGAGCCGCGCACCAGAGGTCACTCTTGCCTACAGTGGAGTCGCTTGCTCGTGTGGTCGATCGAAGAGAGATCGGGGAAACGCAAGACTCGAGTAAGCCGGAATTCGGGTTTGCCGAAGTTGTTTGACGAACGCGTCCTGGATTTTGACGGTCCGGTTTTCGTGGGATGTTTGCAGCGGGAGTTCGCGCCACATTTCAGACAGGGTCTCATTATGGCCCCGCCAGGCCGACCCGAGTCCCCCGTGCCCGAGTCTCACGTCCCCCCGAGGCGAGTTTCTTTTTTGGGATTCTGGCAATCTTGTTGCGTGGGGAGGGGGGGGCGGGCGGCGATGCCCAAGAGGAGGCCCAGAATTCACTCAGGTCGGGCCTCGCTCGGCCCAGCGCGGCCGGGCATGGTGGCGGAGGGGGTGGGCGGGGGAGGGGGGGGGGCAGGTGCCGTGCAACCTGCCAGAATCGGAATGCAAACGTGCGCTCGTCCCAGGCCAGAAGTGTTCGCGTCCCGAGAAAAAGCAGCACGACGAACGATTCTCGGCCGTTTTCGGCCTCTGGGGGCCTTCGCCCGGCCCCGGGACCGTGACAAAACGAATTGGGACGGGAAACCTGACTTGGGGAAAGGGTCGGGGCTTACAGAGACCCCGTACAGTGGAGGCCCATGCCAAGAAACACCCTGCTTGCCTCCAGGGTGCCCTGGGTTTCTTGGGCTTTCCATGGGTTTGCGATGGAAAGCGTGACGCTCCCACACCAAAAAATCGATGGACGTCCACTGGGGTCTCAGGGTTGGGTTTCTTGGTGCAGGTTTCGTGCGGACTGGCCTCCGCTGTTGAAAAGTCAGGGCGCCGACTCTCCGGAGGGCGGTACAGAACGCTCTGCAGGGCGCTCCAGGGGCGCCCTGGAGCGGCCGCCGGGCGCCCGAACGACGGTCCATCGTCCAGAGCTCCCGGATCGCGCAGGTCTCCCGGGTGTCCCCCCGCCCGATGTTTTGTCCCGCCCGGACTTCGTCCTGCGCCGCCGCCGTCCTCCGCGGCGCCCGCGGGTCCACGCCGTGCGTGGTGAGCCAGCGGTGGTCGTTGGGATGGCCGCAGGGCTCTCGGGCACGCGGGTCGTTCTCGAGGGGTGCTTCGGGCGCCTGGGACCACCAGGGTTAAGTGGGGCATGTCCCTCTGCAGGAGGAATACTCAAAAATAGTCCAATGATTACTCACTGCGTGGAGCTCCCCATATGTGCATGTCATGTTTTATGTCATGCCGTGGCGAGCATCTGTTCATGAGCGGTCGACTCAATAGCGCGTCCACGTGGGCGGCAGGGCCGACGAAGACGAGTGACCCCTAATGCGAGTGATTGCGTATGAGTCAGAGTGAGCTTTGAGTATGGTTGAATGCGAGCCTCTTCCTCTTCACCCCCCCTCCTCAGCTGCCAGGCCTTCCCCTTGTCAGCCCGTGGTAGCTTTGGAGCTTCCCATATGTGCATATGCCCCTTAGGGGTGCTGAAACCAGCGCCCCGCCTGAAACATCCCCACGATCTGCTCTCCAAGCGAAAGATGTTGAGCCCGGAAACAAGCAAACCGCTTAAGACATCCCCACAACATGGCCGCGAACGAGCCCGTGCAACCACCCCTGGCGGCTCCCCTTAGGGGTGCTGAAACCAGCGCCCCGCCTGAGACATCCTCACAATCTGCTCTCCAAGCGAAGGATGTTGAGCCCAGAAACAAGCAAACCGCCTGAGACATCCCCACAAAATGGCCGCGAACGAGCCCGTGCAACCACCCCTGGCGGCTCCCCTTAGGGGTGCTGAAATCCAGCGCCCCGCCTGAGACATCCTCACAATGTGCTCTCCAAGCGAAGGATGTTGAACCCATAAACAAGCAAACCGCCTGAGACATCCCCACAAAATGGCCGCGAACGAGCCCGTGCAACCACCCCTGGCGGCTCCCCTTAGGGGTGCTGAAATGAGCGCCCCGCCTGAGACATCCTCACATCTGCTCTCCAAGCGAAGGATGTTGAGCCCAGAAACAAGCAAACCGCCTGAGACATCCCCACAAAATGGCCGCGAACGAGCCCGTGCAACCACCCCTGGCGGCTCCCCTTAGGGGTGCTGAAACCAGCGCCCCGCCTGAGAACATCCTCACAA